ATTACAGAAATAGCTCATCAGCCTACAGTGGGATTACTGTCAGACTTTTGTTCTTTTATTAATAAAGGAATCCCACCCCTTCTGCCTGATAACACAACACCCACTCCCACGCCTTGCCCCCACTGTTCTTACCTTGTCGTCTCTCCCTTTCGCTCTAGATTCCCTCTCCCGGCTACTGGCAGGCTTCTCACTTTTTGATATCGGGTGTGCTCGGCCCACAGGCCCACGTGGCTGCAGTCCTGGTGATTCTCTCCTCAAAGGTTTTACTTCTCGGTTGGGACGTTTGATCTGAGGGGGAGCCCTAGCCAAAAAAAGAAGATATGCATAAGGATCCATTTAAAATAAATAAAAAGGCAATCTATTAATACTCCCTTCACAAATCACTTGCAAAACTGACAGACCTAAATTCCATTGCTTGTTTATCTTTTCTAATTGTAAATCTGTAAATCTAACATCTTTTTTTCTGTGTTTGATTTGTGCTACATAGCTCTGAAAGAAAGAAAATGATCAATGTCAGCAGCTTGGCACAGCTAACCAAACCTACAATAAACAAATCAGCATGAGTGTGGAAAAAAAGAAGTAGATTTTAGTTTCTGGGTTTGGATTTCCTGTAGCTATAAATCATGAGAATATATTTTGCCATCCTGAAAAGCATAGGTCCCATAAGAACAATCATGGAAGAAATTCCTGGTAATTATCTGGCTAATAACTTCAACAGGCCCCAGCATATAAGTGAGAAAGCCAGTGAGAAATAGCACCCTATCTCAATCTTCCTGAGTGAAAATGTCAACACTGAAAAACTGTCCAGAAAAGTAGACCTTATCCAACCAAAATGTACATCCCACACCATCTCTCCCGATGTCATGGGTATTAGTTGAATGGTAGCACACAGACACAGAGTTTGGTTTTACAAAGATTAATCTGAGTCCTATTCATTTTGCTTTGGTAGTTAGTATGAACTTGAAAGGTAGAACCAAAATATATGAACGTATTAATTTAAGTGAATGTTCCCTTTAAATTCTTTACTCACATTTGCTTCCATTATTTCAAAGTCTGCAACTACTTTACTGGAATATTAATTTTTAAAAATGTAACCCTGGTACAAGCTAGACATAATCATTAACTTTTACTTAAAAATAGTAAGTCTCCTATACCTGAATGCTTCATGATAATTCTTTTTAGCCCTTTGCAGGTGGACCAAATTAAATTTATTTTAAAAATATAGTGGACCTGCTAGGACCTTATACCATCACCATATAACAGCTTCATCCATAACAATGCAGGCAAGTTCATTTTGTACTTAATACTGCCCAAATTTTTCTGTACATGTTAAAGCTTATAAAAATGGAAGTACTAGCTGAAGAAAATGGATGCAGAGAGATGGTTTATAGCTACTTGGCCTTGCTTCATTAAGGCAATGATTTTTCTCCTTACAATTTTTAGTAAATCTCACAGTGGAGGTCCAAAAAAAAAAAAAA